AGAAATTAGAAAAACCTAAAATCAAAATGTGTATTGAAAGTCGAATTATTCATTTATTTTCTCGACTACTCCCGGAGCAAAAAAGATACTCCCGATGTCAGGGTTTGGTTGAACTAATAATGCGAAGTCTGGGTTAATTTGAATATTAATACAAGTCAGAAGACTGAATTTAAACTTTCTAAGAAACGTAAGGGCTCATATTGATTAGTTGACCAAAAAGGTGATATAAAGAGCTTAAAAAGAGGTGATGGGGCCTTTTATGGAAGTTGACGGGCCTGCAGCTGCACCCTCTTACTCTTGGTTCGTAAACCGTCGTTCGTGCTAAAGTGCAGAGACGGCGGCGGCGGCCGCCGCGATGTCGGGTTTTTCCACTGGCAAGACAGGCTGTCACAAGAGGTTGAATAGGAAGCCACTTGCTAATTGCTCTCGTGCTAAACAAGAAACCCTAGAGGAGGATTATGAATACAGGACGTTCCTTGCTCAGCAGGCTATCCTCAATCCTCCATCCACGGAAGAAAATGTCTGCAACGATCCGAATCCCGATGCTGATCCCGACTACATGATCTTCCTTCAGAGTTTGAAAAAAGACCATAAAAATATCAACAGAGGTCATTCAGGTGGTAAAGACTGTACCTTGGATTGCAGTTTTGAAAAAGATGATGGAAGATCAGGGGCCTCATCAACTGTAAGCTTTTAGCTGTTCCATTGGACTGTTCTTCTTTCAATTAATTAATCTTGTGTATTAATCAATGTTTCTTTTCAAAGAGTGAGAAGGATGTAGATTACCCCTACTGGTGGTGCTTAGAGGAAGAGATTGGAAGTCATCATTCTCAGTTTAGGGAGAAACTTATGGAAATTCTTTCATTGCCATATGACGAGAGGGAGTATCAACTTCTTTGGAAGAATATATCAAATAGAAAGCCAAAGCAGCGTCGAAGAGAGTTGCGAGGACGTGAAGTTTCATATTCTGGAGCATATGGCAAATCATATCTCGATTACTATCCCGGTTAGTTGGATATTGTCATCAGTTTTACTCTTTTCCTTCTTTGAAATCAACATGTGTTCTATGTCTGATATTTCCATGTTTGCATATATAAATGGGAGTGCTTTTTCTAATTTATAGGTAGACTAGAACCAACACAAACTGGCGCATGAAGATTGGGGGATTCTTAATTTCTCAAACTAAGTTACAAAAGTTTACTTAAAGAGAACAGAAAAAATCTAAGACATCCCCGCATTAAAAATATCTGAAAATCTAATCACAACCATTAACCAAAATTAGTACTTTTTTAAAATACTAAGTTAAAGTTGGTTGTGTTTCTATTTATTGCAGCCGTTAAAGAGAAGCTTCAGAATGAGAAGAATAGACATAAAGCTTTGAATCTGTTACGTGGGTTTTTCTTTTGGTTGAAGGTTGGTATCTTGTTACATTTAGTACTTTCAAATGTTTGTTTGAAGTCATCTTGCCTTAGATATGTTAAAATCCTTGAATAGGTGAAGTTGGGGGAACTTAACATAAAGCTTAATGAAACTCTCTCTGAAAAAATTGGCATGGTTAAATGAGTTTCCATTGGAGGGAATGAATGATCCCTGATTAATTTGCTTCCATGGTATTCTATTCAACTCCTTTAAGAACTATCGCTTTTCTCATGCTATTCATCATTGCCAATAAGAACAAAAATTGGCATGGTTACAGGAGTTTTCCATGGAATGTTAACAGTCATGGTGTGTTTGCTGTCTTGTGTAGCTGAAAGAGGTCATGAGGTTTTATTTATAGTGAGAATAGTAGTTTGGCAGTGACAGGAACGCCCATTAATTTGTTAGGTGTATTGCACTCTGGTTTGCAACAGAGTAAATGCAGTGCTAGCTGCAATTCCAGGCATTGCTTCTTAACATTATGTGTGGAGGAGAAGACACCTCAACTGATCTGCTCTGTCATATTGCCTAGTCCTTCTATTTTTCTCATTCTGTATGCATTAATCTATATCTATGGACTATATTAAATAGTTCAGCTCCTACTTTGTAAATAGAAAATATCCCAAGGGAATCTAGATAGGATGGACTAAAAAGTTTAGTATAGAATAGTTATACTTTTCTGATGCTATCATGAACTTGAATATTCAAATGAGATATATTGCTGAAGACAGAACTTGTACAGAAGTTCACATGAGGAAAATGGATTATTAGCATTAACTGTCTAATCTTTCATATGATTTTTTTATGTCTTGAAGTACTGTGCCTTTATGGCTCCCACATAGCACTAACAGATACCATGTCTAGGAATATAAGAGATCTGCTATGGACGGTCTAACTTTATGCTTTGGCAATGAGTCCTAAACTCTTTTTTATTTTTTTTTTTTATCTCCACCCATGTGATATGTAGAACTTTACTAATGATTTTCTATTTACTGCCAGAACTTGATGCACAAAGGAGCTTTTCTGCCATGGTTGGATTCATCATGTTTAAAGGTGGAACCTTGAGTCTTGTGAAAAGAAGAGCATTATTGTTTTGATAGAACCTTGATAGCGTAGATAGCAACTGCATATATGCTTTAGCTGAATTCCACTGGGTTGTTTTTGAGAAGGCTTATATGAATTTGAGGGTGTATTTTAAAAATGAGAAAAGTATTTTGAAAATTTTGCATGCCTCAGTCCCCTTAATTATGTTGATTCAATAAAAATAATTTAGTTCCTTCATAAAATTTTTGTAGTTTGAAGATGATAACTAAAAAGTGTGTATTAAAACTATATAGTTTTGAAATAAGATCGAAAAGTGTTTATTAAAATTGCTTAATTGTAGAATTAGTATTTGCAATTTTTTTTTTCTTATTTGCAACTAGTGGCTACAATTCTCTTCAAATATATGTATTTTGAATGAAATTCAAATACATACACGTTCTCTGTTTGTATATACTAAAACTATGAATTAGAAATTGAATTTTTAGTCAAACAACACCAGACTCATCACCCCAAGTCACCCAAACTTGATTGCCCTGAACATGGTTCGCGAGCATAGGAGTGACTTGGGTATGGGGTTTTGCACGGGTGGTAGATTAAAGAGTGACATGGGCTCAAGAACTGCTTGAATGTCACTTAGAATCAAAGACCACTTGAGAGTGATAGTGACTTGGTTATGGGAATTGAGAGAGCAACCTAGGTTTAAACAACTTAAGTGTAACTAAGGTCCGGGTTGGCTTGGGGGTCTAGCACACTTAGGGGTGTGACCTTGGGTCCAACCGTCCAATGCAACTCGGTAGGTAACTTGAGATCGCTCTACATTGTGAAGTGATAAACTTTCTAAGAGCAAATAAAATGAAGAACAATAGAATAACTCATTTTACTGTTATATCATCATGATTAACATTATTTTATATAAATATATATTTTTTAAATATTGAACTACAGTGATATTTTATTTAAAATTTTTTTAAATATCATACTAATAATTTATTGATTCGAGTAGAAAAAGTTTAATTTTTTTTAAATAAGATCTTAAATTTGAATTTTATGAATAAAAAGATAGATACTAAAAAAACTTTTTTCTTTTTTAAATAGAACTTTTATCATACATGCTCTAAATAATTTTTTGGACTTGAGCAAGGGTTTGGGACTGTTCATGAAGTAAAGACACAACAGTTCGGCAATTTAATCCTAATTGGCATACCATATAGATGTAGGGGAGAAAGAAGATACGTTGATGACATTAACAAATTGTCCAAATGGACCTTTCAGAAAAATAAAGTCAGAAATCTTGATTGAAAAGTGTGTAAAAATTTGTGACCTTTATCATTATCACTCTCTTTTAGGTTTCACGTATTACCAAAAGAAAATACAGGGCAACTTTTAACCATCCTTGTTGGTGTCCCTGATTGTACATCCGGATAAAGTCTGGGACCTAATTGTATACTTTGACCTTTTCTTTGCAAACGAGTGTTGCGACAAATATTGACAATTGTCAGGTCGGAACTCGTAAGCTGGGCCTCGGAATCCGAAGCAGACATTTTGGATTATTCGGATTTGGGGTTTTTTTTTTTTTGGCCGAGGATTTGGTGTTTCTTAATCTTGGAAAATCAACCATTAACTTTCCGAAATTTTTTTGAGTATTGGATTTTCCATTTTCCCACCATAATGTGGCAAAGAAAAATGATTGAAAGAATTTTTTTTTTAAAATTTCATGTGCTATTTAGAATTATTTTTTTATTTTATTAAATTTATAATATTTTATATATTCATTCATCTAAAAAGACATAAAATTATATAAAAAATTATCCCACATCATTACTTTTTGTTTTTTTATCAACATAAATTAAAATTAATAATATTATATTATAATATTATATATAATTATAAAATTATAATCATAATATATTATTAAATGAATATAAAAAATTATTAAATAAATATTTATAATGTCATAAATAAAATTTTAAATAATTAATTAATTATATAACAATATATTATATTATAAACATATTTCATAATATTATAACTATATTATAACTATATCAGTTAAACAAAAAGAGTAAGTAATACTAAAAATAATACATGCCATATCACATTAACCCTAAAATAAGTATTAAATTTTTTTTCATAAAAAGTTTTTTTATAATTTTTTAATATGATTTAATGGATATAAGATCCTTTTTTTTTTTGGTAGAGGATATAAAATCTTTTGATTACATTTCTACCCTACCCTGCACAAATTAGAAAAATCGAAAGAAAGAAAATTAAATTTACCACCAGAGCTTATAATTGATTGATTCAGAACGGGCAGGAAGTTGGGTTGGAGTTGGGTTGGAGTTGGACTGTTGCCAGGGCAAAGGGTAAAAGACGACTGACAGGTGAGAATTTGTTCCCATAACGACCTTCTTTCCTCTCCTTATTTTCATCAGATACATACATACATGCCTGTTTTGCCTCTGCTGCAATCAATCCATTGATCAACCCTACTACTCCGCCGATGGTTCCTGTCCGATTTGTCGCCGGCATCGTATAGCATACAATCTCTACGTCTATTTATGTATAGATGTACTCCAGCAATCTTAAAGGAGTCATTCTGGCTATGGTCTCCAGCGCCTTCATAGGATCCAGCTTCATCATCAAGAAAAAGGGTCTCCGGAAGGCCGGGGTCAACGGTCCCCGTGCCAGTAAGTTCTCTCCTTTTTCTGCCTTTAGGCATCTCTATTCCGATGAATTATGCTTACCCATTTTTTGCTTTTGTGCGCGTAAGGCTCCGGTGGATATGGTTACTTGTTGGAGCCGCTCTGGTGGATTGGCATGGTCACTAGTGAGTAATCAATTTTCCCACTTCTAAAAAGTTCAAGTCTTTCTTATGGATACAGAAAATTGACACAGATTATTAAAGTGGGAAAAGGAAAGTTTAAGTCTTTTTATAGTGGTTGGGTGCAATTGTTTATATGAGTAGTTTTAATTTGACAGTGATTGTTGGGGAGATAGCCAATTTTGTTGCATACATCTATGCACCAGCTGTGTTGGTAACTCCGCTCGGTGCATTGAGTATCATTGTTAGGTAACATTGGTTTCTAGTAGCTTTTGAATTTTTGTTAATTTACTCATACGACTTTACTCAATTGGTAATTTCTGATGAAGTGTGAACTTCCTGTGGAAATGGGTAGTGCTGTTTTAGCACATTTCATGTTGAAGGAGAAACTTCAGAAAATGGGGATGGTGGGATGTCTTTTGTGCATAGTAGGTTCCACTGTGATTGTGCTTCATGCACCTGAGGAGCAATCAATTGATTCGGTTGAAGAAATATGGGAATTAGCTACCCAACCAGGTAAGTTGCTTGTCCTTTTAGTGGTTGTCAAATTCCTTGTGCATCTTATTCCTACCTCTCTTACTAACTAGTTTGATGTGTTCCTGTGTCTAGCATTTCTTTTGTATACAGCCTCAGCAGTAGCTACTGCATTGGTACTCATATTGTACTGTGCACCTCGCTATGGCCAAACCAACATAATGGTTTACATTGGAATATGCTCAATAATTGGATCATTGACAGTAAGCTATTTCAGCTTCATATCCAACTTTTTATTGGGATAAGTCTTAGATTAGTTTCTCTTTTTTTTTTTTTTTGGGCACTCTAGCAAGTAGCAAAATAAAATTGATATTTAGCTGTCGCTGTTCTTTTTTTGCAGGTTATGAGTATTAAAGCCATTGGTATTGCAATAGAACTAACATTAGAGGGCCAAAATCAAGCTAAATACTATCAGACTTGGATTTTTGCTATGGTTGCAATTACTTGTATCATCACTCAGTTAAATTATCTGAACAAGGTAAGTCTTTCATCACACTCTTCACACCTAATGGTGGTAAATTACTGCACAGAAGAAGAAAAAAAAAAAATTTGCATGTCACTAGTGAGCGGTTGTTGGAAAAGGATTTCTCATATATTGTTGAGGGGAGAATAGTACTCTTAGGGGTGTAGAGCCCTGAGAGATTAGAGCTAAAGATGTGAAGAAACCAGGCTTTTGGTAGTTTGCATTATCAATTATCAAAAGTTCAAAACTGGTTGCAAAGTCTTAACAGGACTGTTTATAGTTGGTGTAGAACCAAGAGAGATTAGAGTTAAAGACAAGAAGAGATTGGAAGAGTTTAGGTTTTTGGAAGTCTGTAATATCAATTCATCAAAGTCTTACCATGACTATTTATATGGTGCATAACCCTATGTTCAAATTAAATAACAAAAGTAACAGTAGAGTCCCCAACTTTATAGAATACTGAACAAGCCCAAGGTACTAAACTAGCTCTTGAACTTCCTATCAAGATAAAACTGCTTAAAGTCTCTGAGACTCTAGAAAAATAGAAGTATTAGGATTGGTAATAGAAATATGTGAATATTCTTCCTTCCCCGAATTCAACGAGACAAGGGATAATTGTTTGTTGTAATGACCAGAATCTTGTGTTTACTAGTATAATATAATAGCCTAGTTCCATGGCCTAGGCTAGTGAACATAAAACATCCATGCCATTTTCTTTTTCAAATAAAAATATCTTTACTTTGATGGAGAACCTTCATGATACATTTATGCACTTCTCATGCCTTAATAAGAAAATTTTGGTGTCTAAAACAAATACTTTATTAAAATTTTCTTCCTAGGGGCTACCATTAATGCTTTTCTTCTACAGCCTACTTTGTGCTGGCATGCCCTTTATTAATCCCTTGCGGATTGGCGGATTGTATGTAGTGTATACAAATGGGTATTCATGAGGATTTGGATTAGATTGTGTGAATTTTTACATGTTTTGAATTACAAGATCAATTTAATACAACTTATGGACAAACTTCCCCCTCCCATCTGCCCTTCCTTCCCCTAAAACCAACAAGATATATAAAGCCTGTATTCTGCTGCTTTCTTTTTCTCATTACTAGGAAATTCCTACATTTGCTTTTCCTGAATTCTTTTACAGATTTGATTCTAATTAATGTGCTGACTTGTCTATGTTGTTAGCCATAAAAGTTAATGTGCTAGCTGATTTCCACTGTTTGCAGGCATTGGATACATTCAACACAGCTCATGTTTCTCCTATCTATTATGCCCTGTTCACATCTTTTACAATGCTGGCCAGTGCAATAATGTTTAAGGTATACATTTAATGACATTTGTACACATGCATCTGCAAGCATGTCCATCTACTCAGACAGACACATGGTCCAAAGAGACACAAATTCTATGATGCATGATTAGACTGTTTGCTCTTCATGTTAGTATAATCAAATGTTCCAATATGATAATTGTTTGGCTTGGTATTTGATGTCAACTTTACAGAAATACATTTGTCATTTTATTTCTACTTTCTGGCTTAAGGAAGTTTTTTCTCTAAGGAACTCCCACCAACACTATTAACAAAATTATGAACTAGCAAACTTATCCTAAATGGCTAAAAACTTTTTTGATAATTTTGAGAACCATTAAGGATAACATTTCCAACTTACCAAGTTTAGTTAAAAGTAGATTAGTATTATAAACTGAATCAGAGGGCAGTTAAGTGAACTCAGGCCAAACTGAAGGAAGTGTTTGGGATACATGAGGAAGTGTTTTGGATGGTGATGGAGTAGATTTCCAGTCAATGAAATTTTACAAGGAAGGTGGGATCTAAATGTGAACTCATGATCTCTGCTGTCTTAGATATAAGAAAATGGGATTTTGATGGTGTGTATTAAAAGCCTGTTGGAATTTTTGTTTTGTTTTATTTTTATCATTCAGTGGGGAAAGAAGTTATTGTCCAACCAAAATGAATATTAAAATAACATACTTGGTGGACGATTTCACTTTGGTTTCAGAAATCTTGATTTTGAAGTATCTACTATAATTGCAGTCATTTTAAACATGTCATTAAGAAGTTGATTATGCATCATGTATGTGGTGCCTGCAGACAAGAATTTGTGTATTATGAACCTTTAGATGTTTGTTATTTTGTTTTAGGACTAAAATTCATAAAGTGCTTATACATATATATAAAGGGTGTATTTTTTATCAAGATATTCTTTAGCTGCTGTCCTATTTTTTCATGTATTTTTATCATGCCTTTCTGTCTCTTGTGTCTATGTCCATGTTCATATCATGCTTAATTTTCTTTTGGTAGGATTATTCTGGTCAAAGTGCAAGCAGCATTGTATCAGAGCTTTGTGGGTTTATCACTGTGTTATCTGGGACTGCTGTACTGCATAGTACTAGAGATCCAGATCCACCTCTACTCACAGGTATTTCTAAGATGCACAAGAAGAGAAATTATTACCATGCACTTAATTAAGATTGTTCATTTAATCTGGATGCTGTTGGTAATCATAAAGGCAGGATGGATTTGCTTTCAGTTAAATCCTTAGTAAAAGATTAAGTCTAAGATATATATAATAGATAACTAATAAATATGATGATTGAAAATCTAGAATTTGTTCTTCGGTACAAACCTGCTACCATACAATCAGACACTGAATTCCTTTTTTAATCTTAAGGTACAAAGAAGTGCAGGAAAATGAAATTTGTTTAATAAAAGGAAAGGAAATTTTAAGAGTTCTGGGGTGATAGGTCAGATGGATATCATACATTTTAGCAAAGAAATTGAAACTCAAACTATAAAACAACAAAGCTTCAATGAAAGGTGGTATTGACTACTAAGGTATTTAACAGAGTTTAAGGGGTGGTGGATGAAATTGCAAAAAATCTCAATGAGATGGGTTTAGAGAAAAGTTTTCTTGAACAAACTTGATAATTATGTTACTTTTGATGTCTTGTTTGGCTGCATTTAGGATGAAAAAAATGAGTGTGTTCTTCTCATCTTTAGAGAACACTTTAGTGGCCTGATGATGAGAAAAGCTAAATATGAAGAAACCAATTAGTCAAGTTCCCTCTAATTCTCTCTTCCTCTCTCTCCTTTCAAGTGCTGCTGTTTGAGATGGAGTGAAACTCCTGAGTATTTGGCATGCCAGGGCTCTTTTGCAGTCAACTGAGAATATATTAGCATTCAAACTGACCTTGCCACACAAGCCACACTGTTAGTGAAATTTATTTATGATATTAGATGTTCTTGGGAAATGAGTCGGTGAATACTTGGAGGAAGTTATTACTTTATCATTTAAACAAATTATGGTTCATTTCTTCACGAAGAATGTCAAGGATAAGAGGCAGTGCTGTGATTCACATCATTAGCTTGTCAGAGGGAATCCTCTAAGATAATCAGAAGTTACCATTTTTGCGTTCATGCTTAGCTTGGATCAATAGAGTACCACCTTTAAACAATTATTTGAACCTGTTACTTCTTTTTCTTTGTGTTCTGAAGGGTTGCCTCTCTTGTGCCTAGTCTGTCTTGGATATTTTCTACTTTAAGTTTCTGACAGAAGTATTTGGCCTTAACAGTGCATTATCTGGAAAACATTTCATAATATCCTGTGGTTACCAGGATTTTCTTTCACCTCTGTTGCATGTTGTTTCTCTAGTCCTGTGTAGTGAAAGTTGTCTAAGAAGCCCTGAAAGGTGATCATGTTACAACTGCAAATAGGAAAAAATAGAATAAAAACGAGGGCAAACTAAGAACTTTTTAAGGGATGGAGGGAGAGAGAGATTCATGCTTAGGTTTACGCTTAACTTATTGCTAGTACTAGGTATATTTTTCTATTAAAAGAACATTTTTTCATTTTCTATACAATTTCTTGTTTACAAAAAGGAAATATGAAATCTGATAACTCCAAACATGCAGATCTATACACCCCATTATCTCCAAAGGTCTCATGGTACATTCAAGGCAATGGTGAACTTTGGAAGCAGAAGGATGAAGATGGATCATCCCCTAGCTTTATCACAATTCTCCGGCAAGACTACTTCAAGTAAATGAGTTATGGTTTGGCATCCAAGTTTAAATTTTTGCTGTGTCTCATTGATACAGCATCGAGAATCATTTATACACTTGTGCAGGCAAAAGTAATGGTAATTCTTTTTTTTTCTTTAGATGTTTTCCCCATTTTAGTTTTTAGTTAATTTAGTGTGTTGAACCAAATTATGTTTGATTCCATTTTGTTGTGCAGTGGTCTCCTATTCATAGTTCCTTCACCATATTTGAAAGTTTTCTTTTCCATTTCCAACTTTTTCTCTCTTTTCGCGATGTGTAGTCTCATAGCTTTTTATGTACAAACAAGTTGCATATATGTGGTGTGTAAGCTCTTTGAAGTGAGGTAACCCATGTAATTTGGTTTATGTAATTTGATTTATTAAATTTTTTTATTAAAGAAACTGTTTCTTCAAAAAACCTAAAATGGCACACGCAAGGCAAATTTGAACGTGGGGTGTACCACTCGCTCCTGTAAAGCAATAAAAGAAGATTTTCTGAGCTCTATTCGTGATGTCAACCCCTGTTAGGATGGTGAAAGAACGTTGGTTTAAAGTTGAATTGTGCCTTTAGTTGATTTACAAGGAGGGATGCGATTTTGTAAAATGGGTTTTTAATTTGTCTTGAACAGTTTCATATTTTTAAATACTAATGTGAATTATGGTTAACGGCTATATCAATGCAAATTAAAGTAATCTTGCAAATGAAAAATGCATCCAAGTTGAATTAAGTATGTTTGTTGTTAGACTAAACTATGATTTACAAACAAAATTGAAAACTGCACTACTACAAAATTGAAAATTTAATTGAGCTATCAAGATTACTAAAAACTAAATGATTATGAAACTATTACAAATCGAGAGCAAATTAACATGTCAAAAACTAAAAAGAAACATTCATGTCATATCAATAATCATTTAGAGAAATGTTACTTATCATAAATCAATAAACACTAATCTGAAAAAAAAAAAAAAGAAAAAAAAAAAAGGTATTTTGTAAAAATTTTAAAGTTTGCTATTCAACTATATGAACTAATTTGGTTAATTTGAATGGTGAAAACAACTCAAATTTATTAGAAATTATATTTAAAACAAAAATATGTAAACTAACTTGGTCATATATTAAATGATTAAAAAATTCATTTTTGTTTATTCTTTTGAAGCCTAAAACTCCCCACTTCTTGACAATTATTGATCGTGGATGGTTTCTTGAAGAAGACAAGACCTTACCAGTAAACTTGATCAAGACTTTTTTCAAATCTCACCACATGTGCTTGTTTCTACCAACTCAATTTTCTAAGCTAAATTATCTCATAAAATGTTGTTATTCCAAGTCCACTTCAATTCAAATTAGCAACTAAAACATAATCACAATCTTCCCGAAATTAATCCTCCACGTGGTAAATGACCAATCAAGGCTCTAAACAACAAGTGTGATATCACGGCGTCACATCCACTCATTCAAAAATTACAAACAAGTGATATTAAAAGAAAATGATTGGTATACACTTGATTTAATATATTTTTTGATATATTTTTAATTTAATTATTTAAAATAATATATAAATACAATTGATTCAATCGTATCTATATTTTGTGTGCATGATTATATATTTAAATTTATCTATTTTTAATTTTAGATAAAAAAATAGTTATGTTTTAATGAATGTGTTGAACCGAATATATATTAATTATTATCCTATCTTAAATTTTATAATTTATAGTGTAAACAAAAACTTTAGTAATTTTGCTCCTTTTTTTATGTCAAATACTTAAAAAGTTATTATTAAAAAAGTGGTCCAAGTCCTTCAGAATTTTACATATTAAGATTTTCAAACATATGTTTTTGTTTATATTACTCCTAAGATGAGATGAAGATGAAAAAAATAGTTTGATGATTAAGTAGAGAATTAAACTTAAACAATAATAAAAAGGTTAAAAGTAAATATATATATATATATATATCTATTCATCTTAAAATACTAAGTTAGGTAACTCTCTTATTAGCATGAGAATTCATATTTAAATGAATTCTTACTTGATATTTCATATGGTAAATGAAAATCATTTCCATTTCATTTTCAAAGCAAGCACAGTGCAATTGTAAATTTGTAATTACATCACCCCCAACGAAACAAAAACAACTTGAGCTAATTATTTTATGTGATTTCAAAACATTGTATTTTGCCCCATGTATATGTGCAAGAGAAATTGACCAAATCAAACCATGCAATATATATATATATATAATGTATGTTTTTTATCAACTACCAAAAAGACAAGAAATTGCAAGTGATTAAATCCACGTAATAATTTTTTTTTTGAACATATTATAATTATTTACAGGTTAATTGGTCGATATGGAAAAAAGTTTTCATGAGGTTCGAACAAACAACCCGCAAAAAATAAACAACCTTAATTCAAGATATAATGTCACTGAACTGGAACAGATCGTTCGTTTAAATCCACACATATTAATTGGTTGGCCAAAAAAAAAAGTTTTGATTATGACATTATGTTCTAATATGTATCGATTCGGTACTTAGTAGTGTCTGCCATTTCAAACACCACTTCATTTATATGGTTTATGTTATTTCAAACGCCACTTCATTTCTATATGGCCGATGATTATGATTTTGAACAAAGAAACAATCTGTCAAATTCCAAATCAATAGTTGGGCACAGCTGACAGTAGCAAACAAACAAAAATAAAAATCACATTTAACAAAAAAACAAAAAAAACCCTAAATTTAAATTTAAATTTCTTAATTTATCGTGTGAATTATATTAAATTATTAAATTATTTTTTTGTTTAATTTTTTAACACGAAGAAATCACAAGTACAAATATAAAATTGTCCCAATTGAAACGGATGTTTCAATTATTAAGAGTCGACCTCATTTGTCTCTGGATCGCCAGTCGGAGAGGTGTAATGGATGAGCAAGGCATGGCAAGTGCATGATATAGAAACTCATGATTCGTACGGGATTTGTTGTGCTGCAATTTTACCATTTTTTCTATTTTTTATTATTCGAAATATATATAATATATAATAAAATTTAATGTTTATCAATTGAGTTTTTAAAAAATATTTTAAATTATATTATTTTAATAAAATATTATAAATAAAAACTAAAATACTCTTATTTTTATTAAAAATAAGTTATTTTAATTTTTTAATATAATTTTATTAAAACAATGAAATTTTAATTTTTTTTAAAACTCAATTAATAAACACTTTTTTACTAAAATTTATTTAAAATATAAAAATTACTAATTAAAATTAAATAAATTTATACCTTTTAAATAAGATACTTATGAATCCCAAGTACGGCCTTACTAAATTCACGAAATATTAGAAGTTTAGAACCCAAGTGCAATGTCAACCAAATTGATTTTTTAAGGACTAAGCTTTTCTAATTTGACAATTGAATCCAAGACTTCAAATTTATTCCAATTGTCTACTCAGCACTTTCTAACCGTCAAATAGATAAGCTATATAAATTAAGAGATTCATGGTTTAGCCAATAAACTATACATTAAAGGTATAATTTGCTTTATAAATTTATTAAAATATTTTTGATAAAATAACATAAGAGGTTCATGTTTTAAGGAATTTATTAATGATATTTTAATAAAATTATAAGATAAATTATATTTTTAATATATAATTTATATTGTAAAATACTTTTTAAATAAATTAAACATAAAGATCGGGCGCTTTCAAAGAAGATCCATCTCCATGCAGGATGCAACAAATTGGAGCAAAAAGGCGTCAGATGAAAAGGGCATCCTCTAATTATAAATGACTGCCAATTAAATTCCGTTGAGTAATTCCATGGTACTAATTAATTTATATAATTAAATATTCTCAACTTCAATAAATTAATAAAATAATATTCATGGAAGATTGCATCTGCTAGAGCATGCTCCGCATTGAAATTCAGATACGAAGCCTTTTTTTTTTGTGCTTCTGCTGGATTGGAGTGTTCTTGAAGCAAACATCATCTCTGATCTCTTATTAAAAAAAACATTTTACTGTTAATTAAAAAAGATGAAGTAATTGATGGAGTACTTATCTTTTAAAAGTGTTAAAAGAAAAAAAAAAAAAACCTAATTTGAGCTTAATTCAACTTGAGTTCATTTGTAAACCACAACTAAAATGGTATATAGAAACAATTTTTTTTATAATTTTTATATATTATTAAATAAATAGATATATTTAATATTATAAATTAAATAAAAAATTAACCATTTAAATAACATATAAAATTATTTTAAAAAATTATCTTTAAATTACTTTTCTGTTAAAATTTACTGCAAATTCAATAGAAGTTCTCAAGTTATTCAATAATTTTTTTTTAAAGTAAATAAGTTTTCTGAAATCTAAACCTTACCAATTCTCGAGTTTGAATTATTTCAAGATTTGTCTAACTTACTTCCTCTATTCCACTATATTAGATGTTTTAGGGAAGGATTTTTGTTCCATTTTATCTCACGTTTTTAGTATATCAATACTCTATTAATTTTGTTTTTCACTTTTACCCTCTAAAGCACATAGTTAGAAGCTTAAAGTCTTTTAGACTTCCCTCTATTTTGTCTTCTTGCATGAAAATTCTGAAAAACTTTTCAATACATAATCAACAAAGATAAAAAAAAAACCAAAATAATTCAGCATTGGAACCAATAAAAGATTCAATCCCCCAAACTACTATCTAAAGGAAGCGTTTCACTAGCATTTCACGTGCCGTGACCCAGTTGTTACTTGTTACCCCAAAAGGTAACCCGTGGTTTGCACTCTTAAGTTTCAGGTTTAATACTTTTCACTAACACCTCTAATATACTAATATCTAGCCATTGCCCTTATCAAAAAAAAAAAGAAGAAGAAGAAGAAGAAGGAAGCGTTTCACTGCAAAAACCATTTATTCAGAAAACTTCAAACGTTAGTCACCACTCAAAAGAACTGGACATAGAAACACTAGAATCAATAAAATTAGTTCAATCAAAACCATGAACTTCATAGAGAAATACCACCACTAGAAAGAAGATCATGACTAAGGATTACCACTAGAAAGAAAACCAATAGAGCCACAAAATTTCTTGTCTTTGCATCCCTTGCTCCAAAAGATTCAACCTTTAACTTTTGGTCATGTTCTTCTATAAAATCCCACAATTCTTGCTCCACTGTCCACTCCTTCAAATCATTGTCAAATATCTCGTATATGTACAACTGTGAAACCCCATCATTTAAAATCAACACTTACTCTTTTCATACAAATTAATTATAAAAAAGTACACTAATTATAACTTAAAGACATAAATTAGATAACCCTTACTTCAATACTTAGTTAGGTTCAACACATTTACAATCCTAATATAAGAAGGTAGAATCCTCAAATCCACTCTCAAAAAATATCGGTAGAGATACATCCACCATTCAAAAAAAAAATATGGGTAAACTGTCATTTCAAATCATAAATCAATATAAATCACTCATTTTTTAACGTTTTCTGTTAAAAAATGCTGACGTGACAAACAGAATTCTGACATTTTTCATTAAAAAATAGGTGATTTCTATTGATTTATGATTTGGAGGAACAATTTGTCCCTACTTTTTTTTTAAGGATGGATGTATTCCTATCAATATTTTTTAAAGGTAAATTTGAAAGTTTTGCCATACAAAAATAATTGGAACATTCTTTTATGAAAAAAAGTAATGATACTTGATTAATCTTGAATTAAGCTCCAATTTGAGTATTTCAAGTAAAGGAACCAGAGAAGAACTTCAACTTTCAATGCCTAGTGCCTATCTTATCAATTAGAAAGAAAAAAAAATCTTGATTTAGGACTAAATTTACAGGATTTCATTATAGTAAAGGTAGAATTCTAATTTTTAATTTTTAAAACTCCTAAAAATTAAAAAAAGAAAAAAATTAAAACAACTTAATATTAAAAATTTCAAAACATATAATTATAATACGTTGAATTTCATAAAATTAAAATTTATATTATATTTTATATATTTAATAATTATGATTGAATAT